GGAGGGAGGAGGGGGAGGAGAGATGGGAAGCGGAGGGGAGGGAAGGGGGAGGGGCAGTGGAGAGGCGAGGATGGGCTGAGGGTCACAGAGGACCCCTGTTCCACTCCGTGCCTGGACCCCACCAGACCCTTGGAGCCGGGATCGCAGCCCAGACACTGGACCCTGAACCCCAGGGCCCAGATCCTGACCCCAACTCAGAGGCCAGACCCAACAACTCAAGACCGCAGACTCCAGGCCCCTGTTTTATTAATAGATACCAGACCCCAGACCCCAGGACACAGACCCCAGACTCGGGGATGCCAAACACAGGACCACAGCACCCAGATACTGGACCTCAGGCCCCGGACCAAGCCGTCTGCATGCCCAGCAGAGGGCCCCTCTGAACACAGGGCAACCCCAGCCCCTGAAGTTGCTGATGAGTGGGGGGGAGGGGGGAGCAGGTATGCTCCGTGCATTTAAGACTCAGAGATACACAGGGACCCCCTCTGGGCCAGGTCTGGGGTGCAGTGCGGATGGAGCTGGGACTCCTCCAAAACACTAACCACATCCACAGAGTCACAGTGGACAAATCCCACAAGCTGGGGCGTGAAAGGCAGGGAGGATAGGAGAGCATAAATGGCGTTCCTCCAGCAAGCTGGAGGTGCAGCCGACAGGGGGCTTCCTGTAGGAAAGTTGGGAGGTGCTTAAGCTGGGGGCAGGGTCCTGAGTGGCCTTGAGGTGGCTGGAAGGCCTGGTGGGGCAGAGGGTTGGGGAGAGGTCACTGCCAGGCAGCACGGACCCAATACCCCCCCATAACTTAGCATCTACTAAGTAGATAGGAGACCCACCGCCCCCTGGGGTCTTAGGCCTGCCCTTTCACAGGGAGAAGGGACTATTTCTTGGGCTGTGGCCCATGGACACCAGCAGAGCCACTGGCAGGACATTCCGTGCTTAGTGGCCAGTCTCTGCCCGAATCTTATCTGTTTCTTTACCTCCAAAGCAGACCTCGAATCCGTCCCCTTCCTCGGGTCCCCACCAGGGCTGGTTTCAGGGGTTTGCAGCCCTTGCGGCTGCCCTGACTGCTGTCACCCTGTCACTATCTGGAAAAACTCTTAGTTGTGTTTTTTTGTTTTTGTTTTTTTAAGAGACAGGGTCTCACGCTGTCACCCAGGCTGGAGAGCAGTGGCATCATCACAGCTCACTGCAGCCTCCAACTCCTGGCCTCAAGCAAATCCTCCTGCCTCAGCCTCCTGTATAGCTGGGACTACAGGCATGCGCCACGACTCCGAGCTAACTTTTTCTATTTTTAGTTGTCTGGCTAATTTCTTTTTATTTTTAGTAGAGATGGGGTCTCGCGCTTGCTCAGGCTGAGAACTGAGCTCAGGCTGAGAACTCCTGAGCTCAAACAATCCGCCTGCCTCGGCCTCCCAGAGTGCTAGGATTACAGGCGTGAGCCACCGCGCCCAGCCTTAGTATAACTTCTGACTCCCCCCAAACTACTAACAGCCTCCTGTTGATGGGAAGCCTAACCGATCACATAGACAGTGGATGAAGTCACATTCTGTGTGCAATGTGTGTTATCACTGTATTCTTCCAATAAAGCAAGCTGGGGGAAAATACTTTATTAAGAACATCATAAGGAAGAGAAAATAGATTTACTGCTCGTGGAGTGGAAGTGGATTGTCCTAAAGGTCTTCATCCTCCTCGACTTCACATTGGGGGACGAGGAAGAGGAGGAAGAAGGCGAGGGGGGGTCTTGCTGGTTTGGGGGTGGCAGAGGAAAAAGAACATCCACCTAGGAGTGGACTCGCGCGGCTCAAGCCCGTTTAGTTCAAAGGTCAACTGTCCATAAGAATTAAACACCAACCTTGGAAAAGCCAGAAACATCGAGAAAAAAAGAAAACGAATATATCATCTCTGGCCCTACTACCCAGCAATGAGGAGTGTTAACACTTTGTTGTATTTTCTTATTGTCTTTTTGTTTCCTTCTTTGTTTTATACAAAGAGTAGCATGTTTTTATATAAGCAGTTGGGATCATGATGAATATATATAATTTGATAAGGGGGTTTTAGCTTTTTTGCGTGGAGGTGCCGAAAAATGGTTCATCTGCGTAAAATCAGGTTTGAATATAGTACTTGTTACTTGACAAAGAACAAAAAACCAGTTTCTTCCCCATTGAGGATAAATGTGGATTTGTGGCATTTAGACTCACATAGTTTTAATTAACTATAATTATTATTGATGAACAACATATTTAATGGGCTCCCAGGTCCTTCGATATCACACAGAACTTTATTTTTTTTCTCGAATAATCTCTGCTGGGAGGCCCACAACTTTGAGAAGCACCCTGCTTTCCCACAACCCGATATCCCAGGCAGCCCCGTGTCGCACCTTTCCTGACTCAAGACACAAAAATCAGCGACTCTCCGAAGAGAAACCTATTGATAACCACAGTTTGGGTGTTGGGGAGACCACTGCAATTATCGTACACAAATTTTTGACGAAAAACTTCCCTAATGACTATTTCAGTGATCCGCTAGGAAAGACATAGTTTTAAGGATCATGAGTTTATGTTGTTATTTCCAATTTAACTCTAACAAGACTCCATAACAGGCGCCTCTCCAGGGGACCAAATCTGGCCCACTACCTGTTCTTGTCAATAAAGTTTTATTGGTACACGGCCACACCCATTCATTTGCAGGTTGTCTAGGGCTGCTTCCCGATTTTGAACAGCAGAGCCAAAAATGTGTTCTCTTTGGCTCTTTATTGAAAATGTTTGTCAACCTCTGCCTTATCAATGCCTATTTAACTTTTTAGCTCCTCACCCAAAATATAATTCTACCCTTTTCTTTCATTATTAAGTAAACCATGTAAGTTTCTGAAGATCTTTGTTATAACTTGTGTAATTTCTTATGCGTTTTACCTGTCCACATACAATGTAAGTACAGACTGTTATAGTGATACCAACAGTATCTAAAAAAAAGAAATTGAGGCCGGGCGCAGTGGCTCACGCCTGTAATCCCAGCACTCAGGGAGGCCAAGGCGGGTGGATCGCTCAAGGTCAGGAGTTCAAGACCAGCCTGAGCAAGAACGAGACCCCGTCTCTACTAAAATTAGAAAGAAATTAATTGGACAACTAAAAATATATAGAAAAAATTAGCCGGGCATGGTGGCGCATGTCTGTAGTCCCAGCTACTCGGGAGGCTGAGGCAGAAGGATTGCTCGAGCCCAGGAGTTTGAGATTGCTGTGAGCTAGGCTGACGCCACGGCACTCTACTCCAGGCAACAGAGTGAGACTCTGTCTCAAAAAAAAAAAAAAAAGAAAAAGAAAAAGAAATTGAAAACTAGGATCTGAGATAACAGCTTCCGTGACCAGCATGGATGACTCCCTGGGCCTGCATGTGACCAGACTTGGCCAATGAGGAAAAGTCTGCATGGGCGGAGGATTCTGGAAAAAGTTTCTGTGGAGTGACCCAGAGAGGAGGGGGCCTGATCCCCACCCCCCTCCCCAGCCCCCGCTGGGTGGCACACAGAACCATTGGAAGAAATCTGGGTCAGGGACAATATCCCTGAATGGCCTTGATCATTCTGTGCCTGAAGGCTGATCTGGCTTGGGGCTTTTGGTTCTGTGAGCTAATAAATGTCTTTAAGGTGTTAAGCAGGTTGAGTCAGGTCTTCTGTTACTCGTGGCCAAAGGCACATAACTTAGGCACCTGCCCCTGGTGGCCTGCTTCGAACACCTCCCTGTAATGGCAGACAGGGAAGGGACTCTGTTCTTGTTTTCCTAATAGTAATCCCTCATGCTGTGGTTATTTATATAAACAGGTGCCCGGTGAGTAGGTTTTGTTACCTGGTAGCGCACAACCTACCAGGGAAACATTTACAGGCTTCACCTGGGGGGAGAGAGCGGGAATTGGCTGGGAAGAGGCGTGGAAATTTATGGAGGTATGTGTTATTAATAGTTTCCTGTGTCTGCTGTAAGACATCGTCACAACAGAGTGGCTTAAAACAACATAGATGCGTTATCTCACAGCTCTGGAATTCAGAAGTCTGGCGTGGGGCTCAGAGGCTAAAGTCAAGGTGTGGGCAGGGTTGATTCCCTCTAGGGGGTCCAGGGGAGAACCCGTCTCCCGCCTCTCCCAGCGTCTAGAGACCGCCCAGCCAACAGCGAGCACCAGCAGCCCAAGATCTAGGATCTTCCAACTCAGCCAGGTGTCTGCAGCCTCATGAGTTAGCCCAGGTGAGACCAGCAGAGGAACTGCCCACCCACCCCCAACAATGGTAAAAAATAAATGATTCCAAACATATAACAAACATTTAACAAAGTTTACGGTGAACATCCACACACCAAACGCATAAACTCTATCATTACCATTTCATTCTCTCCATCACCTCTTCCTTTGTTATCACTCCATCTCATTTTCTGACACATTCCAAAGTTGCAGACATCAGTCCACGGCCCTCCCCAAGAATAACTGGCATGCATATCGTTAGCATAGGATTAACGGCAGTTTGATATTTGTTTGCAGTAACATTTTCAGACAATGACTTGCACAAATATTAAGTATATGTTTGCTGGGTTTTGATGAATGCACACATCTATGCAACTGAAATCTCTATTAAGACATAAAACATTTAGGGCCGGGTGTGGTGGCTCACGCCTGTAATCCTAGCACTCTGGGAGGCCGAGGCGGGAGGATCGTTTGAGGTCAGGAGTTCGAGACCAGCCTGAACAAGAGCCAGACCCCCATCTCTACTAAAAATAGAAAAATTAGCCAGGCGTTGTGGCGCGTGCC